GAGAACGCTAGAAAGACCTGCCAGACTCACGTCCAGGTCTGTTGTGGAGATGGACAATCGGCAGAAGCGGCGTTCAGTCCGTTTTTGGTTCAAAACTAGACATTGCGTGGTGTTCTCGTCTTCAACTGCTGATGTTGGTACCGGGGAATTTTTTTCAATCACACATAGCAAACTCGGGAACAGTAGAACGAGCACAGCAGCAGCNTTGCGTGGTGTTCTCGTCTTCAACTGCTGATGTTGGTACCGGGGAATTTTTTTCAATCACACATAGCAAACTCGGGAACAGTAGAACGAGCACAGCAGCAGCACCAAGACCTCCAATGCGCTGATTCCTTCGGTTCGGCTGTCTATATGATACCATCTCCCGGTGCCGTGCTGCTTCGTGGGTATTGGGTGCTTGGGTGCTGCTCAATCAATAAGGTGTGTGAACGACGTGTGCCACCTCACCAAAATACCGTTGGAAAAAATGCGGCCAGCCAGATGATGATCTGTTTTTGGTCGGACACGTCAACATCAATCCACGGCACCACGCAGCAGAAGAGCAGCAGGGCCTCCGACACGCTATTTCTTTCGGATTGACCATCTATATGATGGTGGCCGTCAGCTCGGCTGCCGCCCTATGATTGTTGAGCTCGTCTACCTTTGGGCTGGTGGTCAAAGATGGGAGTCGCAACCGTGGAAAATGAGCTGGCAAACTGAAGAAATCGCAAGCAACACCCAGGTTGCGACACTCTGCCCTGCGCCTGTTGTTGCTGAAAACTGAAAACAGCAGGCCGGGTGGATAGGATCTTCTAAGTGTGTCGTCCTCCGTGTCGGGTGCTGCTCATTGCGCTTTTACCGCTGCTCAATGGTGAGCTACACCAACTCAACCTGTTGTGTGCGGAGCAAAGCGTGTTATCAGGGAAGGAAACGTACTTTTTGCGATGACATCACGAATAGAACAACCTCATGGGCTAGTCTAATGATCGACAAAATTCCACCCACGGCCAATAGGTTGGGATTTTCGTACTGCTGTATGCATAGTAGTTCTGTTGAAAGCGATGGTATTGATGTATTGATGAGGTAATTTTTTTGGGAGTGACGGAGATGAAGGAAAGCGAAAGGAAAGAACAGAGGGATGAAGGCGATGATGGAGGAAGAAAACATAGCGCGGAAGAGGCCAAAGGGTGTGAGCCAGATGACCTTCGCAAAAAACGTCGCAGGACTGGAGAGGACCTGCCAATACCATATATGACACAAGATAACACACCCCCTGGACCGATTTTCAAAGTTTGATTACTCCACGAAGAAGAGGATGCATAAACGAAACAATACATTTGCGAAAAGCTCTCGACGAGACGGTTTCAACGCCGCCGTTTTTGGCGCTGTGACTGTTCCTGCAGTTGAGAAATCGAGCTTCGAAAATTGGTCAAGGGGGTATGTTATCTTGTGTCGTATACTGTAAGTAGTGGGGATATTGGCCCCAAGAGTGGTGGTGGTAGATGCAGGGAAGACGATGAAAGCATTCCAATGCGGACGCGTCCAAAGTAGTAGCAGCCATGTTGAACACGTGCGTCTGTTACTGGTACATAACGTGTATGTCTTCAATCCAGACTGTAGCGCAGACTCCCCGATGACGCTCGGTCACGGGGTCCCTTGCATTACAAAGCATTTGGTGTTTTCAACCGCACTGAGATTGACCTCTTTTCATCGGTCAGCCGGTTTAGCACGGTCGACGCAAATTTGGAACACACACACACACATTTGTTCTCGATGCCAGTCTTTCACGCCTTCCCGTACAATTTCTGGACGCACTATGGCCGCCTTCTGTCCTTCCGAGGAATTTACCTAGAGTACACATGCATGACGTATTTTGTCGCAAACATGATTCAGCCGTTTCTCTCCCTCGTCGACCGATTATTGTTGCAGAAGGCAGAAAAGAGACTCTTGCCACTATGCATGAAGCACGAGAATGATTCTCTAAAGCGGTGCCGGGAATTGCTTGTGTTGTAGCCAGAGACTACTATTTTGTATAGCTATGGTCACGAGCTGCTGGTAGCTGCACAGTGTAGTGCAGTTAGGGGATAAAGATTCAGGAATCAGTTGGCGAAAAATCCGGGGCCCTTATCTGCGGGCGAAGATGAATCCGTTGCTTATGCAAGCAGTATTGAAAAAAGTAACCAATCGCATTTTTTTCTCGGTTGTCAGAGAGATCGCAAACCAGCTCACTTCCCGTTATTTCTTGTTAGCTTATTGAAGTGTGTGTGTATCTGTTCGTGTTTTCGTCCTATTTATTATGGCGACGGTCCCCCCATTTTTCTTGGTGAGACGTGTACTACACTTTTCAGCGTATGTAGAGTACTACACTTTTCAGTGTATTTTTTCGTACAACTTCAACCATCCAGGGTCACACAGGAGGGGGTAAACACCGGGGCTTTTTTCTTGTTTTTTTTTCTTTTCATGCCCCACCTTCCTCCTGCGGTGCGTGCTGAATTTTATTTTTATCGCGAGAAGGGTCCAGCCGTCCCTCTCCCTCGTCAACGGCGCTAACGTCGAAGTTTGGTACTCACGAGAGCTTGTCAGCTATATTTCGCTTTCACCCCACGTTTCGTAAATTTTTCACCCCATGGGGATTCGAACGCACGATGCCTGCGACAAGCGGAATACGAGGATACCACTAGACCACCGGGGGCGACCGGTGTAGCGGCGTTCAATGTAATTTCGTTGTTGCGCGCGTGAGGGATGATCGGAAGGCATAGACATCCAAGTACGGCCTCGTTGCGCATCCCCGTCGTTTGTTGATCCAATACTCGTCGCATCTGCCGCATGCTTTTCTTCGCTCTATTCCGAACACGGCAGCCAGCGGGAGGCCCGGCAGAGTACATTGCCTTGAACGACACGAGACCCCCCGCAGACCAAGGTGGGTTAAGGTATTGTTACTCGGTATACACGGCAGTAAGTACCCCGGGATTACGATCGGTTATGGTGGGGCGTGAATTTCCCGAATCGGACGAGATTCACGGCGGGATAATGGGACGATCTCAGGTACCACTTCTGTAGGCCAGTGGCAGCGGGTGTGTCGCTACTACGCTGGGTTTTTTCGTTTGGTTTTCCCTCGCTCGCCATCGAAGAGCCATTTGCTCGTCGCAGATGCCCTAAGACAATATCGCTCAGCTTCTCCCATGAATCTACCTTGTTATCTATGCATTGGTCGACGGAAATGCAGTCCTGGTGGGCATGACCATTAGTGGAACCAGTTTTCTCCTGCGAAAGCGACGCTTTTCCGCACAAGGAGTTTCTGCACCGAAACCCACGGGGTTTTGTAGTGTAACCTCGGTGATTTTTTCAGTTAATGCGTTGTCTGCCGTCCCCCTTTCCTCCGTCGTGTTTCCGCGCTCGAAAAATGTTTTGGGGCAGTAATCGGCATGTGCCAGGGAAATTCCGTCTTGGGCTTTAATTGGCATCAGCAAGAACAGCTCCACCCGCCTCCGGAAACGGTGTGTATACAGTCAGCGCCCGCGCGTAAGAGCGTGGCAGCGAGACGAAACATGAGCGTCGAAAAACTCAGATGTCCAAGAAACTTGCGCACCATTTGTGAGGTCGGTGAAGAACCCTACACACGAAAAAACTTTTACACCGGCTATTCGCTGCATAACCGTAGGCTCTAAGAAACTCTGCCTCGGTAAAAAAACTAAGTTGTGGTTCCTCAACTGCGGGCGGTAAGCGTGTTGCATTTGTCGTACCGAGCCAGGCGCTATGTACCTTCGGAGGTCTGAAGAGGAGCGCCTGAAATCCAACCGTTCGCGGGCGCGCGGAGGCATGATGGCTTGAAGAATGGCCCCATGTTTGTCGCTCCCCTTGTGGTTGCAGCGGAACGTGGGCCACCACGTGAAGACCAAGCGCTTGCCTCAAGTCGTTTCGACCGGTGCAACCGCAGCGCCAAGCTTGTGCCATCGAGTTTTCCCTATATGTGAAGCCCATGGTCGCGAGAGATTACAAGCACCGCCACATTCGCCACAACAATGGCCTGCCACCATGACACCACGCATCGTACAATAATCCATGGGAATATTGAGAACACCTTACCATTCTCTCTCTCTCCCTCTATCTCTCTCTCTCCCCCTCTCTCCTTCTCTCTATCTCCCCCCTGCCCCGATTGTTGCCGCCTTCGCGAAACCCGTACTTCTCCACATGGCGTTCGTTTCTTCTCCCTGCAGCAACGAGGAGGGCCCGACCGGCATCGTCCGCTGTCCGGAGGCGGTGGTTCTAGCGGAAGCAGTCTGTGGGCATCGCCGTTGGAGGTGCCGCCTGTAACCGCATCGTCGACGCCGGTGGCGCTAGGCCTATCATCGGACAGGGGCACTGCTGGCTCTCGCCGCCAAGGGTACGGAGGCGGCGGCGTGAGCACGGAGAGCGGCTGCAGCGGCAGCAGCGACCACGACGCGGTGCTGCCGGCAAGTGCGCGCGGCAGCTGGAACAGCAGCAGCAGAGGCGCTAAGTCTTCCCCAGCAGGCGGAGGAACAAGCCCGCACGACGACGACGAAGCCGGAGCTGGTTCTGGAAGACGAAGCGCGAAAAGAAGGCTAGGTACAGCCGCATCAGCAGCAGCAGCCTTGGATGAAGGAACGGATCCGATAGTTGCCGCCGTCCGAAGAAGCCGTGGAGCCAAGGAGGCGGAGAGCGGCGAGACTGGTGATTTGAGGCGTGGCGGGGGCGGGGGGGGAGTTGTACGGGAGGTGGGCAACAGTAACCGGGCCGGTAGCAGTGGCGGTGTTTTTCGTGCGGCGGGAGGTGGCGAGGGGCGTGACGGGGCGAGCGTTTCGCTTGGCGGGAGGCGTGAGGGGGGAAGGACTGCCGACGGGGGTGCCGTGGTATCATCGTCTACCCGGGGACGAGTCGGCGTGAGGAAGGCTCGTCGGACGTACGGTCGGGGCTGACGAAGCGCTGGCAACAAACCCTACCTACCGTTTTACGCGGTGGTGTTGTTGGTGGTGTTGGTGGAAGTGTTATGGTAGGCATTCGCTTTGTTATCTTGCGTTTTGACTTACCATGCGGTGATAACGCCGCTGGAACATCACCAAGTAGAGAGAGAGAGAGACCGTAAGGCCTCCTAGGGGGGAGGGATCGAGGGTTGTCCGGAGTGTTTTGACGATCTTCGATGGCGAGCGGGCAGTTTCAAACGTGGCGCCCACCGGTGTCGGACGACTCCACTCACCGACCACAAGGGTTTGGAATAATCAAAACCCGGAGATTTTGGTTTCGGGCGCGAAGTCTCAATAGGCAAACCTACAGCCTCTTAAAAGAGCTTCTCGGCTTCGGGGCGCGATCCATCGGATGGACTTTAGATCCGCTGTGAGCATGAACACGGAGCTGAGGATACCGCGATCCCTTGCACAAATTGCTTCCCTACGAAGAGAAAACAAGCGTGCTAGTCTTCATGTTTCTCAGGGCAGAAAAACGTGTGCGAGAGTCGAGGGGGAGGAAGTTGTCGCTGTCCAAGAACTGGGCGGCGAAAAGGTTGCGTGTACCCGTGAGTGTCTTTGTGTTGTTGGCATCGACCGAGATAACGCGGTTGACCAATGAAAGCACTGCAGTCTTATGATGTGATGTACAAACATGCATGTGAGGTCTGATTGACATCGGTAAGCTTGCAGGAAGTAAACTTGTTGTTGAAATGTTCGTACAAGGCTTGTACGCGGGCTATTGTACCCCACGAGTTGCTTTTCTCGAGGGCGTAACGGGCGTCGTGGACAGCGTGGGAGAGTGTGGTGCCGAACTAAGAATATTTCTTGCAGCGGTAGAACCAGGCATGTGCCCCCCCCCCCCTGCCATGTGTTGTGTGGGAGGAGCAGTGTGCCTGCAAGATGTCACGGTATTCCGCAGCTCGGGGGTGCTGGGCGTGCTTTGTTGTTGAGAAAACTCGTTTCGATGTGTGTTGTTTGGTGGCCTACGCATACTGGCAATGGTCAAGGTTCGGAGAAAAGGACAGGATACGGCCCTGCCACAGGGTGGTGGAATGAAGGAAGAACAGCTGTCGAGCCTCACCCGCAAATTTTCGACAGCTGGTCACGGACGTGGTAACGCTAGACATGTAGTCTAGCTGTGAACGGTTAAAGTACGTGTGCTTTCAGCGAAATAGGGCGGATTCCGCAGGGCAAGAACGGCGGTGGGTTCTTGGAACGGAACGTTGTACAGTAAACCACATCCAATGCAATGCCGGCCCACCCACGGGGAACATTGATACCGTTGTCAGAAAGCCAGCCTGATGCTAGAGTACGAAAATCATGGAGACCTGAGCAGGGAGTAGGCATGTGGCCCTGTTGCAGGACGAGCTCGGGCAAAGGCTGGCAGGTCGGAACTAGCTACTGCGATGTTTGGTGTTTCTTTCGTTCTCGTTTCTCTAGGGCAAGGGGGGGCCGAGGTGGGTGCAACAGCGCAACGAGATGCGGTTTTTCGCTTGCGTGCCTTGCTGCGGACACAGCTTTCTAGCTTTTGCTTTCAGACCCCCTACACTACTACTATCTTCTTCGAGCATGTGCTTCTTGTGAATTCTGCCGATTCCGTGGCCGCAGCATCGGCATCTCTCATGGCGCTTGAGTTGTGCGCGAGGAGGGCAGTCGAGATAAACTGCGGCCCCTTCCGAGGAAAGCCGAAAACGCTCCACACACACACAACAAGCGTGTCTACCAGCCTTGAAGCGCCCTCTCGACAGCAACCACCTTCTTCGAGAAGGACTGCTGACAAAAGTCCCGCTCCAACGCGTTTCGGCATTACCACTGCCGTTCGTTCATATTGACGACAACATCGGGGGGCGTGAACGTTACGAAGAAGGATCGAGAACCTTTTGCAGCGCGTGCGAGCATAGTAGCTAGGTGGGTTTGTGAAGTACCAAGCACCGCAGTTAGAGTTGGCAAGGTGAGCGTTGCTCTCTGAATACCGCAACAAGCGGAGGTATCGCTCCCCCCCATGACCGACTTTCCAAGCTCGATTGCTCCACAACTGAGTGGGTGCGGAAGGAGCCCGGTATGTCCACGGAAAGCCCTCGACGAGATGTCACCACTTTTGGTGGCACAATCCTCGTTGTGGAGCCATCGAGCGTTGAAAAATCGGGTCTGGGGGGGGGGGCACCTCTCCGCCTCCTACAGAAGTAGTAGTCCAACAGGCGACGGCAACTGCTTCGAAACAGCGATGGACGCAAGATAAAGACGGTCGGCCCCGAGATCTCCGGAGATAGATGTCGGCATGTTGACGCCCTTGTGGGTTCCGGTTTCGTCACACACAAAAAAAAAAAGGAGAAAGGCACTGCTGTATGCGGAAGATCGGCTACGCACCCAGCCCATGCGCACGAAGTCACCGGGCGTCACGAAAAGTCATCGCGAAAAACAAAAACAGTACCACCGTCAAAGCAATCGAGTGCTCTACCCCGACATGTAATTCCTTTGACTTGGGTGTTATTCACGTGAGAACACCCAAGGCGGGCAAAAGCACTGCAATACACACAACTGCAGCAGCACGCGTAGACAGACAACAGCCCATTTATGCACATTAATTTATTTCCGCCCCTTCCTCCTCTCGGCATCCTCAATCCTTACTGAAACAAAACCGTCTAACCAACGTCGACAGCTTTTCAAAAAACAAACCGACATACAACCACTCTACAACCTGATGCTTGATCCACGACAAATTGTTCAACGAGTTATTCTAAATAGCACAATGCCGCACAATCACGCTCTCCCCGGGCAGCTAGCTCTCCCTCATTCGCTCCGCAATTAAGGGCATTCCTCCTCGCTCGCGAGACTGGGTTGTTCTGGAACGAGCAAAAGGTAAACGTGCAATCACCCCCCAACAAACAACCCTCGGGACCAAGCCAAGAACGACCACCACGCCGCCGCCGCCGCCGCCGCAGCAGCAGCAGCAGCCGTCAACACAAATCACTACCACAACAAGATTGTGCACACCGGTACAAAAACAAAACACGGAAGACGACGAGGTTCAGGGTAAACCTGCAACTACCAACCACAACCCTAACTTAAACGTAGCAAGCACATCATCACACCGACTCAAAAAAGGCGTTCAGGTCTGTTGCTACGACGAGATTTAGGGTGTGTTGACCCTTTTACCCGAAACCCAAATGTAGCGAGCGAGCACACCATCTATACCGACTCCAAGAAGCTGTTCAGGTCTGCAGGTGGAGGGCTGTCTGGCGGTCCTTGCAGTAGCGGGCCCATGGCCGTTTCATCGTTCTCCTCCTTTTCGCCGGTCGCCTCTCTTACGTCCCCCCCGCCCTGCTTGCCACTGCTGCTGCTGTTGTCCTCCGAGCCGCCGTTCTCTTCTCCCTCCTTCGAGAGGACTTCTTTGCCCGTCACGAGAGCTTCGATTTGTCGCTGGTCGAACCACCTACAAATGTTTGTGTATATACGCCAGCACAGCGAACGTGTAAGACTGTACTCCATACAAGACACTTATTTTTCTTCTTAATATATAACACAACGTGTGGCCACCGGGGTTGGAAATAGAGGCACAAGTGGTGTGAGCGCTGATTTGAAGTGTAGACCAAAAAACAAATTAGATAAAAAAAAAGACAACGGTTCTATCCACAGATGAGAGTCCAGGTTTAATTAGCAGATTTGTAATGTACTTAAGTATTCTTTTTGGGTCTTTGGGGTTCTCGCTGGGCCATTCGAGTGAAAAAAAAGTCTCGGCTGTGTGAGCTACTTCGAGCTTGGGAAACATCAAAGTTGGTAGCTGGCAGTCAGGTGTCGGTCGGTCCTGCTGCCTGCTTTCTGCGTTCATCTTCCACCATCACCCCTTGATGGCATTGTGCTCAAAATCGTCCACTCCAGAGGCATCACGTGATCAGTAATTGCAGGTTAACCCGATGGGGAAAAAGCGGCGGGATATGGACAGGTACCGGTTGGCGGCGAGAGAAGAAATATTCACCAAGAAGAATAAGGAGGCGTGTGAAAAAAACTGATTACGAAACATGCCTCCTTGCCGGCGGTGGCCAGCCCTTCGATCTGACCACGACCGACAAAACCCTCTCCAGATTACCTACTCAATCATCGACCGAAGAGATGCATGCAACAATTGACTTGTACATCGGTTATGGCGCCATGATGGCTTGTGGCACTTCTTCGACTGAACCTACTGCGTACGGAGAGGGTTTCGTGAACACCCCGAAGCATGAGTCGGAAAGGGCCGGGGCGCCGAACGAGCACAATTTCATTCGCAGGGCGCGGATGTACGACAAGTCTTGTCGTGCCTTGCACCACAGCACTCGAGCCCCCGGCACCCAACACGGAGACAGCCACCCAGACACGGCACAAAAAGACACCGGTTCGGCCACCAACCCACGCAAGAAGGACACGTGAAAGCCAAGTACGCCTTTTTCAAAGTGCACACGGAGGTGCGACCACGGATTCGTCATCCTACTCGGCCGAAATGCTGTGAGCGCTGACATAAAGTTGTGAACCGAATCGAAAAACAAACGTGATCGGGTACAGACGAAGAATCGGCAGCCCCTTCGGAAAAAGCGATCGGTACCCACGTCGGACATCTCCACCGCCGGTGCCCCAATGTTTCCAACGCCAGGGCAGAAGCAAGGCACCGCGAATTTGACACAAAGGTAGAGAAAACCCCCGGCACGACCACCGTAGAAAACATCCCACAGACAGAAATCGAAAAATCGCAAGCAAATGCACAAGACCTGAGAGTAAAAAGGGCGGAACATGCTGGTAGACAACAGACACAGTTAAACACATTTATTTGAAATAGGAAAGCAAAATTGTTTTATTCAAAAAAAAATATCAGATAACAAAGCTTACCGTATTTATAGAGCAGGATCAGAGAGAGACTGTTCTGATTGAAAGGTTAAACAATAGGGTTGCTAAGTGTTTTCAAACACGGCCTCCTCCTTGAATGGGGCGCCGTGAATCTCGACACGGACAAAAACGAAAATACTCCTGTGGCATGCATATGACTACCGTGGAGTACCTTCCTTCCCTACACAGAATGTATCGAAAAAAAATCTGGGGAAGAGATGTAATCGTGCAAGGGAAGGCTTAGTAGGGTATACCCGTACCCTCGGGTAATTGTAATAGAGAATAAAAGTTACCATTTGTCGGGTAGGGTACGGGATGCCCTACCAAAGTTACCCAAGTCTTTGGTAGGGTATTATTTACTTTACTTTACGAGCTTGGTAGGGTAAGGGGATGATGTACAAAATTTACCCAGTCGTTGGGTAGGGCAAGGGATGTCATACCAAAGCTACCCCGAGTCTAGAGTAGGGTACAGATGTCTTACCAAACCTACCCAGCAGGGTAGGGTAAATTTTACTTTACTAGTTTGGTAGGGTACAAGGATGTTACACAAAAGTTACCCGGTACCAAAGTTACCCGAGTCTCAGGTAGGGTGCGGGGCGCGGTACCCTCGTTACCAGACCCTGCCGGATACTCTATCCGGTTGTGTTCGAGTAGCTTGTCGGCGCAAGGACCATACCCACGTTGATGCTTGAGCGTTGGTACGGGTACGCTACCCCCGGGTTATACCATTACCATCAGCACTGTCATTGTTGTCGGTTTTACAAACTCAACATGGTCCGACACAAGCGGGTGAAGGGCATTCACACTGCCTATCGTACATTGTACAGCAGCAAGGGTGTGCGGGCCGTCTTCCACCACAAAATAGGGCCCAGGTCTGACGTCAAATCTTGAAAATGCGAACTTGGTATTGGTTTGTGTGTGTGTGTTCGTCGTATTTATTATGGCGACAGTCCCCCCCTTTTTCGTCGTGAGACGTGGCCTACACTTTTCAGTGTATTTTTTCGTACAACTACAACCATCCAGGGTTACACAGGAGGGGGTAAGCACGAGGGCTTTTTTCCTTCTTTTTATTTCTTTTCAAGCCCCACCTTCCTCCTGCGGTGCGTGCTGAATTTTATTCTTATCGCGAGAAGGGTCCAGCCATCCCTTTCCCTCGTCAATGGTGCTAACGTCGAAGTTTGGTACTCACGAGAGCTTTTTCTAGCTATATTCCGCTTTCACCCGCAAATTTAGTAATTTTTTCACCCCATGGGGATTCGAACTCACGACCTCTGCGACTAGCGGATTACGAGGATACCACCAGACCACGGGCGACCAGTCCCCCCAGGTCGGGTATGCTGTTCCCCTTACCATCGGGTAGGGGTACGGGAGGTCTTACCAAAGTTACCCACGTTGTCGGGGAGGGCACGGAGGTCTTACCAAACCTCCCCAGCAGGGTAAGGTATTATTGATAGGGTAAGGAAATGTCGTACAAAATTTACCCCGTCGCTGGGTAGAGTAAGGGATGCCATACCAAAGTTCCCCGAACCTCGAGTAGGGTACACATGCCAAACCTACCCAGCAGGGTATTTTTTTTTTACTTTACTTCACTAGTTTGGTAGGGTACGTACGAGGACATCATACAAAAGCTACCCAGTCGTTGAGTAGGTTATGGTATGTCGTACCAAAGTTACCAAACGCTTTTGTACGGGTAATACTCGAGCGCAGTACCTCGATACCCGATTTTTTCATACCCTACCAAACCTTCCCTTGGAATCGTGGTGTGATAATGACAAGAAAACTAAAAGTTTGAAAGCAAAAATACACAAGACCACGGGGGAAAAGCAGGGTGGTATAATTACACTGGAAGACAACACAAGAATTACTTCTCAATGAAAAAATGTGCTGCTAGTATAATCATGAACAAGGGCGCCGGCGGCTTCTTCCCTCGTTGGAAGGAGACCAAGATCGCTCGTTGGAAGGAGACCAACATCGCGGTAGGTCGTCTTTGCGTCATTACGAACTACCGTACCGGTGACTAGCAGCTTGGATTCTTGAGACTTGACAAGGAGAAGGTCTCGGAAAAAAAGAGAAAGCGACACTGAAGGGAGAGGGTCGGAGGGTAGGAGGGTAGGGAGGAACGAAAAACATTTCTGCAGGTGGCGCTGAAAGGGTCGTATCGATACTCAGCAGTGATGTCGATTACCGCCGTCGGAAGAGAACACAAAGGCGAAGTTGCCTTTTTGGGACGGATGGGATACCTACGGCAATACATCAATTAATAATCTATTGAGAGGATAGAGGGGGCCGGGACAGGACACGTCACTACCCATCTCCGCAGGTGGCGCTGAAAGGGTCGTATCCATAGCAGGATTTTCTTGCTGTTCAACCATCAGCAAGATACTCTTCCGCTCAGATCCTACTGTTGAATGCGCACCGATGGTTGCAACACCGGTCTTCCACAAATAACCTCTCACGAATCATTCAATATTAAGGCAGGATCGTTCCACTAGTCCTTCATATTAACACCCCAAACACAATCAAAACAAAAAAGGCAAACCCCATTTTGTATATTTTGAAAGGTTGTATATGTTCAAATTAAAATATTGTTCAAGACGTGCATTCGAATCACGGAGCCCCCCACCTTCCGTGCATTGCCTCGGCACACGCGTTGGCCCCGTTGCTAGTCCTGAACGTTATCACCACGCAACCGAAGTACCCCGGCGCCTCGGGGGTGGCCACACTGATGACCGTCCCGAACTTGACGCACTCCATCAGCATGTCCGCCTGGAGCAAAAAAAAAAAAAGAAACACGGGTTGTTGTTTGGGGGGCCGTACTAACCCTAATGTAAAGCATGCCGCACATCGTTAGACTATTTCCTTCGCATCCCTACAATGCCGGGACAAAGGAGCGATACGCCGGGTTTTCGCCGGCCCAAGCTACGTTTCACAACAGGATGAACCAGAAGCTAGTAGTTCATCATGGTGGCCTTTGCTGTGCCAATCCAGGGATGCCATGGGGGGGTTTCATATTCGCAAGAGTTTCGGGAAGTGAATTGGGCAGGAGGAGTTGAAAAACAAAAAATGGAAATCAATCGAGAAAACGAGACGATGCCGTCGAATACCCTGCGGTTCGGCATCGACACCGAAGGCCAGTTTTGACGTGGCGAGATTCCGGGTAAGAAGCCCAAGAATTTAATGCCAAGACATGGTCCAAAGACGAGCAGGGTTATGACCACCCTCCGCAGAACGACGCCCTTCGTTGTTCACGCAAAAGGGGCACCGTTATTCTGCTCAACCCAGGTTCGAAGTCTACGCCACGTGGTCTGCTTGCCTCCCTTACTCTTGAAATAAAAACATGCAACCCAGGTACGTAGCCCAAGCCGCGTGACCTGCCTTCCTCCTATGTTTAAGAAAGATAACATGCAACCCAGGTAAAGTAAGCCAGATGGCCTGCCTTCCTCCCTCTTTACAGTTCGAAAGAAAAACGCTCAACCCAGGCACTCAGTCTAAGCCACCTGGCCTACCTTCCTCCCTCTTGCATTTTCGAAATAAAAACATGCAACCCAGGCACGTACAGCCTAAGCCACTTGGCCTGCCTGTCTTCCTCCTACATTATTGCTTGAAAGAAGAAACACAATTTCCTCTGTTTGTTGGGGGGGGGGGTGTACTCATAGTCGTGCATGCCGTAGTCGTGAGACCATTGACCTCGCGTCGCTACAAAGCCGCGACGGAGCACGCCGGGTTCTCACCGGACCAGGCTCTCACATCACCAAGCGC